GAATTATAAAACGTTAAAAAAAAAGTTTATGAAAAGGTTTAGCAGGTTAGGAAAAGATCTGTAATTTTAACAAAGACAAAGCTTATCTTTTTGTGCTGTATTTTTTATTTTTTTAAATGTCTGAATTGTGATAATATACATGCTTTTAACTTTAATCAGGCTTAACAGGATTAAAATAAGGATGCTGCCCCATTCAGCATGGTTACCAATGCATTCCCTAGGTAATTTAATACATTAGTAAAGAAATCAGATTTTTACACTTTGGTATTAATGTATCAAATTACTGAAGGCTTCCTTAGTTATTGTGTGAAGAGTAAACGCAACTGTGCGAGATATTTCCATGATTTTCAGTGTGTCCACTAAATCCTGGAGGTTTGTAACTCTAATCTTAAAACGTAGTTATTCTTGTACTAAAAGGTGCGTTTGATTGCAGCATAAAATTTGGCTAGCTAATAGAACGGGGACAGTTTTCTGATGAAACCAATACTGCATGACTTCATTTACCTGCAAAAGTGACGCAGCAGTTTTTTTTTTTTTTTACCCTCTTAATTCCTTCAAATTGTGAGGCTGATTGGCTGACTACAGGGAAGCATGTGTCCTGGAAAGGATCGCCTTGTGGGAAATCAGCTTGATGGCAGCTCCTGTAATTAGTTCTGCTTGTTAGGAAAAATGAAGGGGTTACTAATTAGCAAGTGGATGGCTTCTTGACTTGTTGTGCATCTTTTCACTTCTTTCCTTAAAAGATCAACATTATCGTCTCTCAGGCAAAACGGGGGGAGGGCGGTGCTTCTCCGCCGTGCCGCTCGACAGTTTAGCTCTAATGCAGCAAATCTAGGTGGAGGAACCTCAAAGAAGGTTCTGTCTCGCTCTGATGGACAGGCTGGCTGTTGCAAGCAGGTGCAGGAAATGCCTGGAGCTGCACAGAGTTGGGGTTTTATAGTTTTACGCTTTTTAGCTGGGGTACTGTTAAATTTCAGATCATTTGGGCACTGAGCCGTTGCTGAGCGTTTTGTTGGAGTAACATAAAAACTCTTGCTTTATATTTTGCTTGGAAACTCAAAATTCTCAGCAATGGCTACACTGAAAGCAACATTTGTTGTTTCAGTGCAATGATCTGATCTAAAAGACAAGCTCAACTGATCAAGTTTTCTGAGTTTGACTCAAACAGATAACTGCCAAAAATCCCACAAAATCTGCTTTTGTCCTGCTTGGACCAAAAGCTCAATTTATTTGGAGAACTACAGCATTTAGAAATATTTTTTATGACATATCTTTTCATATGCCGGTACAATATGCTACCGGCTTCACCTGTCAGTCTAGTTTAATCATTCATCCCACTGAAATATGTTCACATCACTGTCAAAAAGAGAATGACGTGAATTATTTTTGTTCAACGGATAAATAGCACAGACAGTATCATGGATTTAAATAAAGTCAGTCATTAACAAGGCATAAAACATTTCAAAACTGTAATTCTGTGTAATTTTGCATCAAAGATTTAGCATGAAGAAAATGCAAATAAGATCCCCTCCATGAATAGAAACAGTTTTATGCTCCCAGAATTCATATGTAAAGACCTATAATCCACCATTGATATTCAAAATTCAGGACTTCCGGCCCAGTTTTCAGCTTTCCATCACACATCCCTCTAAAACTTCCTGACATTAAGCTGTGGCTGGGTGCTGAAAAAGTAACTGTTTTATTTGTAGATTTTTATTAAAATTTCAATTTTTTTTTCTACATCCAGTCAAGCTGTTAATCAATAAATCTCCATAATACGGTGTTAAGACGCACACGGTGCTGGGGGGACATTTATCACCCCCCTTGCTGATCCGCTTCCAAGAAAGATCCTGACGTGACATTACGTAAGAGCTTGGCTCCGCTGCTGCTGGTATTAGGGAACAGAAAACTCCAGAGAACATGTTAATCTTCCTGCGCGATTATTAGTCATACTATTTAACGCCGGCTTAATGGGGGGAGCGCATGGCATAATTTCCATCCGGCATATTCACCTGCTCTACCCTAAATCTCCTGGCTTGCTTTAGAGCTGGATGCTATGGAGTGAAATAAGATAATCATGCCGCAGTGTGCAGGGAATTAACCCGGAAATGTGAAACGGGAATAGCGAGAGGGGGTTATAATAACACTGTGGAAAATCTCAGCATTAGCTCAACTTCTGCTGAATTTTTAAAAGAATTCAGATTTTTTATTTTTTGCATCCTTTCTCTCTTCTGTAATCAACCCACAGAGGCAGAGCTGACACATGGTAAATTATGAGCTGCTAAACAGAAACACTGAGGGAGCTGCCACTCTCCGTGATTTCTCACAAATTCCACGCAACAAAGAAAAGTTTGACCAAATTTCATTTTAAACTTTGTAACTGTGAGATAATCCACTAAACCGGCCATAAACAATTCACATTGCTCTCTTTAACCCAGTAATCTGTTGGGAGTAGCACTGACACACCCTGATGTTTTCACCTCACAAACTGAAGCCGTCAGCGGATTTGGTATTCGGTGCAAAGCTGTCATTTAGCATGCAAATGAATCACGGAGTGAACAAGCAATAAGGCCCCGACTTGGAATTTGCGCGTTTTCAAACACTGCGATCAAACTGGATTAGTTTCTGAATTTCATTGGACATCGGGGAGGCTTATCAGCGAACACCAGCGGCTCGACGGTCTGCAAGTTCCTCTTTGAACCCACGTAGGCAGGGGAAACAATGCCTTGATATTCCGGGATTCAAACAAAAGCCTTTTTACGCGCTCCGCTCCCCTCGCGTTTAGAGTTGGAGGGCCCTCGGGCAACTGTTGTTTCCCACCTGGGTTTTTTTGGAGACGAAGTGAACGCACTTCAGTCAGTCCTTCAGTCAGTTGGAGAACGTGTTTTGTTTCAAAAATAAAACTGTTGCAGCATTTGAACGTGCCAAAAAAGGGAAAAAAAATGGCGCCATGCTGAGAATGACGGCGGTGAAAAAACTTGGAGGGATTGTTAAAAGACAAGAGTCTCTTTGGCATGTTGTGGCACGTTCTCTGTGACAAAGTTATCACATTAAAAGCTGGCATGATGCTCTAATATCGCTTTCTTGCAAAGAGATGAAAGCGCAACTTGTCAAGTTGTTGCTTCGGTTGCCAAACTAAGTGAGCAAAGAAAGTACAGCATGTTGATTTAATGCAACTTGAGAGGAAGTCGAGCAGAATGGGTGCTTTTTGTGTCTTGACAGAAAACTGTTTGCTTCTAGGTTCTAAACCAACACGCAATGGAAAATGATTGGCTTTACATTAAAGTGGCACTTCAAATTTTTGCAGCATTCATAAATTCTTAGGGATAGTCAGAGTCAAACTGAGGTTCTTGCAACTAAAAAGCTTTGAAATATGTCAAAAATGTCTGTTACATAATATTGCTAAAATACTGATAGCTGTGCCTTTTGTGATGTCATCAGCCCAAATACACACCAACCAGAATCAGCTAAATTATTTTCAGCGTACGTTCTAAAAATTTTGGAAATCACAAAGCTGTATTTTTTATGTCAATGGTCTTTTGTAAACACCCAGCAGTAGAAATGTATATTATCTTTAGCCAAATGGAAGCAAAGTTTAACAAAGACCAGTGAAAGCTGAAATTCTGGATTCTCCAACAAATATGTCCTTTCATCGAATTACCTGATTAGATTGAGCTTTTTTGTAGCCTTACAGACACTCAGGTTCTTGAGGGCAATTTCCTCCAAGGCTCTTTGTTGCTTTATAGAGACAAATAGTTTCTTTTTGACCTCTGTGCTTTAATAGTACAATTGGTGGAGTGCTTGTACCAAGAACGATCTTTCCTTGATGTTTTCTCTGAAAAGTAACTGTTTTTATTTCAAGGTATCCACTAGCTTTTCAGTTGCATCTGCTGACCAGAGCCTTTCATTGTCTGATTACTTTGTTCATCGGGGCAAACTTACAAGTCTGCTTGTGGAAAATCATGGAGGCTACAGTGATTTGGGGCACTTCCAATGATAACAAAATCTTGGCTTCCTAGTCCACGAATAATATTGTTTTCTTTTCCACCTGTATGCTCCATTACCAAGCAAATATATCTATATTTTTTAGATATTTTGTTTTTCTTTTGCTAGTTTTTTTATTTACACCTTACGCTTTCATCTTGTAATTGAGAAAGAAGAAGAAATTTTGAATCCTAACTGTGTGCACAAGCAGAAGAGCAAATGTAAAGCAGTCAGGTTCAAGTTCATCTTGTTGGTTTTTACTTTGTCTTATTATAAGCTGTGTTATCTTTAAAATAAATTCATTAATTTGACTAAATAAATGGAAAACGACTTCTTTGGCACCGCATGGCCTTCACCAAGCAGCAAAAGTCCAGTGACAAGTTTTCACCCAGCTTGTGTGTCATGGATCCTGTTCCCGTTGAATTTGTCAAAGGCATAATTGACAGCTGTGAGTAAAAGAGCCACCATGATTACATCTCATGCCCCCATCCTGACAAAGCTGGAAAACTAAGTGGAAACATTTTAAGCAATTTGTTATGGATTAGAGTGAACTGAATTCAAATGTTTCCCTGAAAATGGTCAGAAAAATTAGGAAAAAAGTCCAAACAAGTGAAAGAAGTTCAGAAATGATTACAAGAAACTCTCTTCAGAAGAAAATATGAATAAATCAGTTTTAGAATCTAGACTAAGAAATGACGTGAATAAAAACCTAAAGTGACATTTCTGAAGGAATTTCAAGGAAATTTGAGCGGATGCAGTCCGGTCCTGCCCAGCCTGTGACAAACACAACATGCAGCCACAGCAGCAGGAGAGGAATCTGTCCCTCAAAGTCTCGTCCACTAACATCACAGTCAGTCTTCACTGTTGCAGTGCAGTATTGTCTATCTCTTTTGCTGTCTTTTCATCTGGTCCGTGTGGTTATGTGTGTGGCATGCTTCACATGTTTGTCCTCTTTTCTCTTTCTCTCCTTTCCCCCCCTTCTTTTACTTCCTCTTCTCTTTGTGTTGGATGAGAAGTTGAGCCCCGGGGCGCCAGACGACGATGGCAAGTTGTCGGTAGGTCTCGTCTGATGGACACTTTTTGCCTTCTTGCTTCCGTCTTTGTCCCCGTTCTCTGTGTCAATGTCTCTAGTGTAAATTTTGTCTAACTCCTTCTCCCGCCACACTGTGAAAGAAACATAGCACACTGCTACTTCCAAGCCTCAGCCTCCCTGTGTGCGGAGAGTGGCGCCGTCTGTCTTCTGAAGCCCTTTGCTTTTTCCCTCCGTTTGCCTTTGCACGCGGCATGCAAAAGGCAATTAGACAGGGAGCATGTGTCTCGCAGTCTGCAGACTGTTTTAATGCTTGTGTAAGAGCTTCCATCCAGAGAGCAGGAGGAGGAAAATAAAACCAAGCGGCAGAGAAGACGCTCATCCGGCAAGCATTGTCTCCCTCGCCTCCCGCTCACACCCATACAGACTTGTGAATTAACACCTCACACCTCCGGTGCCTACGCGTCACCTGCGATCACCCAAAGGCAGACACATTCCCAACAGCTGTCACCTGCGATGGAGCCTGATTTGTTTCCTTCTTCCCTAGCTCAGCTTCAGCTGCTGGAGGTGACCTTGGCGAGGATTCGTTCAGATGAAGAAACTGAACTGTCACTCCAACTCAGCACGCCTGTCTCCACCAGCAGGGGCTTATGTTTATAAGAAGCTGTAGTGCTTCATGATTTTTTTTTTTTTTTTTTAAACTTAGTTTCAGGTTACACACAGGGGTTTTGTGGAAAAGCGGATTATAGGGAGTCATTTTTTCAAGGTCGAAACACATTCATGAGTCAATGATGCAGCAGCTTGAATCCATTTTGTAACCAGTGCTGCACAGCACTTCAAAAGAATGCATTTCTTCAATTATCCTTTGCTATTAAGTTAAAATAAATAAAGTTTCAAACAAACACTTAAAGGTCCCAGCAAAAGCATTTAGAAACATTGAGCCTTCTCATATTTTTGGCTGTCGCAACCATAAACTTCAATGTATTTTATTTGGTACTTTTATAATAAACCCGCACAAAACAGAGTATTAGCATCTAATTGTGAAGTGGAGGAAAAATGATTTTCCAAATCTCAGAGGTTTGTTATATGACACCGGCAAACAAACAGCATCATAAAATGAACTGGAGGTTTAGTGATGAGGATAAGATGACCAAGGATAGGTGCAAAAATGAGTTTAATGATGTTAAGAAGTCCACAAAAACCAGGACGCACAGGTAACACGACACAGACTGAACAATGGCAGAGAGGCTGAACCACAACAAGGATCCAGTGGAGAGCAGGGAACACAGGTGAGGTTCAATACATGAGGGATAATCAGGGGAACGAGAAGCAGCTGGGATCAATCAGGGGGAGGACATAAAACAGGACAAAATGAACAAAAACACACAAAAATCCACATCCTCACATAAACAAAAATGAGCTCATCAGACAGGTCAGGGATAAAGCTGTGGAGAGGTATAAAGTTAGATTAAAAATAAATACCTGAAGCTCTGAATATCTCTCAGAACCAGGGAAAAACGGGACGATTGTTAAATTATCAAATGTAAGGTGTTCTTGCAGCTAGTCACAGCTACGTAAAAAACGTGGAACAAGGTTCTCTGATCAGATGGTCAAAATGGTCCATTAAAAAATTGTCTTCAACCAACTTGAAGGCAATCCAACAAAGAACAATGGGCAGTATTTAAATGTGCAACATTTATACAAGCACAGCCCTAACATCTGCAGCTGTGATTGCAGCAACAAGTTTTTTTCACAGAGATTCAAGATATGCATCTTTCTCTCCACTTCACAACTATTCATTACTTTGTGTTGGCCTTCCAAACAAAATCCCAGCAAAATGCCAAAATGGTTTTTGGTATTTACATGGAACAACATGATTCAGTTTGAGAGTTACTAATGTGCAACTTCAGCGTTGTAATTCAGGATTTTAGAAAAATCATGCAATGTAGCAGATGAGATTTTCACTTGGAGATGAGAGTTCAAAGTGAAAGAGCTCATTACTGGGAGCAGCGTATTTGACTGACGATGCGTCTCTTCTCTCGTAGGCCAGGCCTCGGCTGCAACGGGGAGGCAGCTCTGCTTCCCTGCACAACAGTTTGATGAGAAACAGCATTTTCCAACTGATGATTCACACGCTGGACCCTTTAAGTGAAGGTAAGGTAACTCGGGTAACAGAAGCAAAAAAATTCTAACTGTGAGGAACAGACATAATATGAATCTGTATGGTCAGGCTGAGGGAGCCTGGCATGTGTAATCAATCTTGACCTTTTCTCTTAGAATTACTTCCAATAAACTGTTTGAAGTGGGGGCTTGTAGAGAAATTATTGGTATTTTGTACCCTACCTGCAGGGGACAGAAGTCATAACAAACTGAGCTTAAAGAAATAGAAGAATGTCTCAGTAATAACAGCTGTCAGGTTACTTCAAACTCAACTACTGAGTCTGAAGTAACATAAGAAACCAAGCAGAATATGAATTTTCTCTGCAAAATCTTAGAGAGATTGTCTAGGGTGCACTAAGAACACAACTTGTTTGCTTATGAGTCTTTCCCAGCTGCTTTGATCATGCAGACAACTGGTCCATTTGAAGGCACTGGTTCAGAGTGGATGAGGCTGGTAGCACTAGTGGTGGCTCGTTTACTATGTGGCCTGCATTTGATTTGGACATCAGAGATTCGGATTTTTAAACAGCTATATTTTCCTAATGCAACAACCAATTGGAACAAAGTGATCGCAGCTCTCCAAGTATTTGTTTGGAGCACTCTTGAGTGCGAACCTGCCACCACTCTGACTGACATCATTACTTTGTATTTGATCGAGCAGCTAATTCAACCAAAATTCAACCTGGTCAGTATTAGCATGTGCTTCACTTCAAGAAAGGTAGAAGTGACGCACACATCCAAATTGCACATACAGAGGGATTACTGAGGGTCAAAAATAGTTTGTCAGGCTGAAGTTGAAATACAAAATTCAGAAAGGATCCTGGATTGGTACTTCAGAAGAAAACACAATGAGTGAACAACTTTCACATTTTGGATTTTGTAACCAGGGCACAGTGGCTGTTCAAAATCACTTTGCAAAATGACAATAGCCACATGCACATGTATATAATTGTGGAGTTTATTCTTAAAGTGGTCACTTTGCTCTATCAGGGCTCATAGTCTGACTGGCTGTACTCCACTACGATCATCTTTATTCTGATCCAGATTCAGATTTCTACCACTTTTGCTGCTGTGGGTAAAGTAGCACATACTAATAACAGAACCCCACTCCAAAAACAACAAACAAATAAAAAACAAAAACTGAACTTTCACTGTAATCCTCTTTTCAGCTGTAAAGCCCTTTCTCCACGACTACAGTTAAGCTCACAATCCTGCCAACAAAAAGCAGCACCAACTGTTCTAACTAATTGTCAAATGAACATAATTCTACAAGCGCCTTAATTACCTCCTGGAAATCCATCAAACCTCAAAAAAGACCAGTGAAGACCCTGCGCTGTGTATGTCGAGAGTGATTTATTACACTTGTTCTACAGCACAGCTGAGGTAGTAGGCAGATCATTTGCCTTTAATCCAAGATGATTGCCTGTTAGCTCAGCTAAGGAAACAGCAAAAACAGCAGTGTCAGACCTCTGGGGGAGGGAATAAATATGTTAATATTTTGGTAGAGGTACTGTGTCATCTTATTCGTATCCCACCATGAAAAGATGAGGGGTGAAATGAGAAACATTATCTTTATTTAGAACAGACAGGATGCACAAATTTTGCAGGCTTGTATCTTCTAATACAGCCTGGGACTTGGAGACCTGCTGTTCACAACACAAAAACATTTATAGCCCTTGATGAACCCTGGACTTATGTGTCTTTGGAGGATTTATGTGGTAGATTAATACAAAGTAGTGTATATTTATAAAGTGGAAGAAAAATGATACATAGAAATATGTCATATTTTTTTTAAATGTTATGGTACTTGTTGGACATGTTGAAAAATTTGATTTCTGCAATTTGAAACAAACCACACTTGGGGGCACAGCGGAAGGACAAGTTCTTTTAAAAATACAATTTTTTGAGCTAAACAAAAAGTGCTGTAAATTTGACGAAACTTAAACTATTTTGAAAAGCAAAAATGAGCACAGCTGGGGAATCATAAAACAAAATACCTGTGATTGTGACTGCTTCAAAAGATAGTTTTACAATCTATTAAATGTGCAACCATTTCAGTTTTACTTATAAAAGAATTCAAAACTATGTATTATTTCTCCTCACATTTATACTCTGTCATGCAAAATCCCAATGGAGCACAAATAGATTTGTGGTTGTAACATCACAAAACTGGAAAACGTTCAAGTACTATAAAGTACTGTATGTTGTTGGCACAGTTACAGTTCTTAATATGACAGCATAACATAATACCTGACTGGATAAACTCCAAAAACAGTCAGAAACCAACGTTATTAGACCGCAGGGTTCTCCCATGGGTGCATGGAATCACATTAGCAAATATTTAATGAGTAGTGAGAGGGCACTTAAGCTTTACTCCAAGAAACTTTGCTTCTTGGAAATCCAAAACATGTCATGACTCATCTTCTGAGTGATTTACAAACAATAAAGATGTGCTTTTGAATCATGCATCAGTATGCATCTCTGATAAGACTACTACCTGCCCTTGTACATTTATCCTTTCATTATCATGAATAAATATCACTTATGGATATTTGCAGAATGTTGTGCATACTTTGTGCAGATTTTTATGTGCAATCCATCTCCATCGATGTTTATATTGTTAAAAGTGAACTGCTTTTGGTTTCAGTCCCTGTTAAACATTGCGCTATTCAGGTTTTATCTAAAGACTTTTAACAGCAGATTCAGTATGAATGCAGAACAAATCCTTCCAGACTTGACTGACGGGTCTTTTGCCAAACAAATGACTGGAATTGAATGCACTGAAACAGCAAGTACAGTGTGACACGACGTGCACAATGAATAAATTACTCAAGAGAACAAAAGCAACACCTAAGGCTTCAGCCCACTTGGATGTATTAATTAGGTATTTCCATTTAGTACTTTGGGAAGATTGCTCATACTCCAGAGGACGTATAACAATGCTATCAGTCTTTTACGTAAGTATGTTGCTTTAAAATTCACCTTGTAAAGTGTGCAGATAACATTTGGGGCATTTGCTGTATTGACGGTGGCACATTTTACCGATTTTTCACAAAGTCAAAGAGAATTTTGCTGATGAGTTCACAGCATGAAGACCCATAAACAAGTGTATTCATAAAAGATGGAGACCGTGCTGCTTGTCCTCGTCTGCTCTTGGCCCTTAAGAGCAGTTCATCAGGGCTGCAGAGAGCTAACAGGACTCCATCCATTCATTTTTTATAGGTCTCTCTCAAAATAAGCTGTCTGTGCCTCCACGCTGAACGAACGTCTGAGGTTGTTTCTCCAGTTCTCGGAAATGCTTTTCCTCTTGTCAGACTTTAGAGAGGGGTTTGTTAGCATAATTGTGTTGCATGCATATATGTGTGTGCGTGTGTGTGTGTGCAGTTTTGTCTTTCGTGATTTTACCGCTCTGGTTCATCATTTCTCAGTCCTTTACGTTCTGCTGACACCCGTGGGTCTGAGCTCTGGAGCCGAAGTTATGTGGCCAGTGTGTATCTGGGATATTTTTTCTTTTTTAGAGGAATCAAAGCCACACATTTAATGCAACATGCAATACAGTGCAAAAGTTTTGAATCCCTCCTTTTTTCATATTCATATTATATATAATGAGCCAGACTTTTTGGGTCCTTGTAAAATGACTCTGAACAGCAGATTTTAAGGATTTCTAGCATTTTTTTTTTTTGAAAATTTTTTTCTTGGTTGCGTTTTTGCTTGTTTTATGTTTGGTACCTGATCATATCAGAGATTTTGTTTGTTATATTTGTCTGATCTATTAACGCATACATTTTTTTTAGCACTTTCTATACAGTACATTGTGTCAGCCAAGTATAAAGATTGGTTAGAAAATGAGTGAAAACGCTTTAAAGAAAAACTCAAACAGAGCTTCAGAAAGCTGGTGGAGATTAGCTTAAAGGGACTCCGATTTATTGCCAGTTTGTCTTATCTAATTGTACGAATGGGCACACTTCGGTTTCATTGTTCTTAATGACTGAAATGTACTTTTATTATGATTTACATTGTCTGAATAATCCATTTGATGTTGTGAATACTTCATGTATACATCTGTACATTTGCAAATTAAAAGATTGCTCTAGAAAGAAAACATTTTCGTTATCACTCATGCTAAATGGCTACATCTAGTGCTACTGAACAGTACCAAATCATAATTTGAAAGATAAGCACAGCATTTAAATGAACCAATGGTAGAAGAAAAATGGTTGAAACAGCCGAAGTAACAGTTCAGTTTGTTATGCAGGGGAAGGCATGTTTGGGATAAGCAGATGGCAAAAGTGTGTGTGTGGGTCTGTGTTTGTAAGACATTTAAATACTTGTAATTTTGTCCAAAGTTTGAATGTTTGTGTGTTTCTTGAAAAATTTTTGTTGTCCAAAATAGATAAAAAGAAATCAGGACATGTCTCACTGCAATTCAGCATACAAGGGATATCACTTTTTTTTTTTTTTAGCTCACTGACAGGTTAATTAGTTTCAGGAATTCAAATCAGCAACACACTATATATTTATAACATTTTCATCCATTTTTCAAGTATTTATTTCTAGTAACTTTGGTGATTATAGCTTACATGAACTCAATTTTGCAGTTATGAGCAAGTTGAGTGGAAATAAAAAATGTGTTCCAAATAAGGATTTAAAGAATTTAAAGCTGCAGCCCTCCCTCTAAAGATTAGCTTTATTTTGATACTCATCATATTGTCATATTCTTATTTTACAAGATACAAAATGTTGGTTTGTCGTAAATATAAGTAATCACAATTAACATCACAAAATATACATAATAAGTGTGTACAGGGTAGGTGTTTCACTTTTTGAGCCGAATCACTACGACAAGTTCACCTTTATAATAACAATATAGCTTATGGAGTTTCACCTTGACATATTTTATATTTTGTAAGACATCAAAAAGAGTGGTTCCTTACTTCTGTTTTAACTTTCTATGCCCAGATGTGAGAATTATTTCTCTAAGTTTGCGTCATTTCATTGAACTACTAACATAAGAAATTGTTTGTTGACCCTTTTACAATATCTCTCATCTTGAAATATTGCCCGATAATTATTCAGTTCTCGCTTTCTCACTGAAGATCACCTGGATTTATCATGTCTCATTTTCTGTTTTCTTCTTATTTCTCTTTCTTTTACTGTCCCCTCAGAATTTGCTGACTCTGGTGAGTTACTCCTCTAATTTCTGTGTCCCTTCTTCCCCGTCCTCTTCTTCTTCCTCCTCCTCCTCCTCCTCTCTTCCCACCCCTCGCATATGCCAACAGCAGATATGTTTGTCCTCATTCCAACATCTGGGAAGCAGCTCTTATCCGACGTGCTCTCTTATGTATACGTGTCCTTAACGCCTCTGTGGTGTATGTCAGCTCTCTCCCTTAAATATGCCATTCTCTTCTGTGGATGCTTTCTGCTTGGAAACCCCCTCTGTGATCATTTCTGCATTGTTTTTTTCCCCCCTCCCATCGTTCCCGATCCTCTCTCTCCTCTTTTAAATTTGCAAATGCTTTAGCTTTTCGTCAATGTTCCCTGTGTCGATCTCCAGTTTGAAGAAGATGGCGTGTCGGTTCCTTTATCTTGCCATGAGTCTTTGAACACAGGCAATTTTTCTTGAATCCTTGTTATCAGAACTTAAAGTCTATAAGACTTATTCCCTAAGTTTCTTATTTATTTATTTTTTTTTATTTAACTTATTGATTCACTTTCACCTGATCCTGACGGTTTCTGTGTTTACCCAGCATCAAATTCTTTGCCCATCTGTTTGTCTTGTGCTCCTCTGAATTCAAATGTATTTTAGTGTTGTGACAAAGTTGAGATCTACTTGGAGGAAGAAAAAACCCCCCAGAAAAACATAGTAATGGACTGGGACAGTTTGTTTCAGGCTCTAATATGAAGTTCTTCCATCCATGTGCAGCTACAAACAAAATCACTCAGGAATGCCATTAAATATTGAACGGCAAAGAGATATTGGGAGTGAGCGTGGGGGGGAGGGGGGTGGAGCTCAGTCCGTCTGAGACAAGACTCTTAAAAACCGCTCAGGATTCAGGCTGCATTCCTGAATTTGCTTTAAGCACTTCGATATGATTTATCACACAGGTTGACAAATGCTCATTATAATTATTAAGGTCATATTTCATGTTGTGGATCATACCTAATAGTAAAGGTTAGCTGGAAATGCCGTAAGTTGACATATGCTGGACAGGCCTGAAAGGATTACTGGAAGTGAAATGGGAGGAGCAGATACACAATAAGATGCTTTCATATTGTGGTGTCATAATGTTTGGGGAGGAGTTTTTTTTTCTTTTCTTTTTTTTACCAGATTGCTGAATTTTAAAAATATCACTTAATTTGTGTCTTTTAAGTTATATATTTAGTTCTTTTGGATCACCAGAATGATGGTGAGCCAGAGTAATACATAATTTATGTATTATTTGAACCTTTCGATGATAATCAGCTGCTCTCTGTTGTGAAAACAATACTTTATCGCTCTGGTTAAATATAGTAGCAACAGTCCAAAGCCAAGCTTCGTATGTTCAGTTCTGACTGCATGCGGAGAACTTTCACGACAAATTCAAGCTTCTGCACCCACTTATTGGTTTTCTAATATCATTGAAGTTGTATAATCATTGCATAGAAAAAGAAAGATTAAAATGAATCAATAAAAGCTCCACATTAACACAGGTTAATTGTCCATCTTGACTGTAGGTGAACTTCTGACCAGAACTGCAGATGAAACTAAATGCATGTTTTAAAGATAGAAAGACAAAAAAAAGAGAAAAAAAGTAATTTAACTTGCTGTTTACTTTAAATATCCACAGCCTTGATGTGTGTGCAGCATTATTACTGTGGCTCAGACTGTTCAGTCACTCTTCAGTTGATTGCTATCTCACTGAGATAGAGAAAGATTACTCACCCTGCCACAGTGACCTTGCGCATCTTTGTTGATGTCAGGTCTTCTTTTTTTTTTTTTTTTTTTTATCGAGCGCAGGTCACACCAAGCTCATCGGTGGTCCGAGTCGAGACCAGAGAAGGTCGTCTGTGTAAACCATGATGCACACTTATTGGCAGACAAACTGCTTACAGAGTAAGCTGGTGGCATGAAAGAGGGCACAGCTTTCAGTTTCCTCAGAAACCTTAGATGCTCTTCAAAGGACAATTTGTGCATTCATACACAAAAATAATATTGATAAAATAATAATTTTCTCTTCAATTTTACAACTATAAATAGAGAGGAGGTAACGCTTCACACACCAGCAGTTGTGTGCGATTGGTGACCCAGGGCCACATTGATCACGCAGTTCAATATTGCACTCACTGTCGGTGACCCCCTGGGCAATGGAAATGCATTCTCCATTTCTACAAATATAACACATTGACTTTTTTTTTTTTTACTTTAATGTTGTATTAACACAACACAACTCATCCATGGTTAACAGTAGTAGAGAATATAGTATAACATCACATTGATGGTAGATCTTTCCAGATAGGACTTAGATATTCTACAATTAGTGCAGTCTGTAAAGTACAGTGAAAAAGTTTTAAACCTCTCTCTTTTTTTTTTTTTTACATATTCTTAATTAGTTGTTGAATAAGTCTCCCGAATGTATTTCATTATTGGATTTCTTTGGATTCTTGCTACTTTTTAATGCATTTTTTCACCCAATGCTTGCATCTGATCTTGACAGCCGACAGTGCAATGTGTGCTTAAAAATGTGAGAAGTCAACAAACGGAGAGCAGAAGCAGTTGAAGACATTTTTACACTCTTTCAAGGAGGTTTTAGTTTCTCTGATAAAGAGTTAATGCACTTGGGGGAGATGGAAAGACATTTGCCGAATTAGTTCTGATGTAGTGAATCTTCCCATTCTAGGGTGGGTTTGTGTCTTACCATAGGCACAAAACTCAGATCAATTTTGTGATCCATGCTCGCTTGCAGTCTTAAGGACGTGAGGTATATTTTATCTGGAGCTATCAATTGACAAAGTAGAACACATCTGCTTTGGGATAAAATAATGCAAAAAAACCCCCAAAACAAAGTAGCATACTTGCCAATGGCTGGAGCTCAAAAATGCAGAAAAAGTGAAAGAGAGAAACAATGGTCTTGCTCAGCTTTGTGTTTACTGTCAGACCACTTTCTGTTTCCATTACTGGGATTTCTGGTGCATACTCTCATGTGAATACTCACTCTGCCTTGTGGTGCGTTGAAAATTAGGATGCAGGTGATGTGTTTTGGGCCTTACCCTCTGTTAGAATTTCAAATTGCTTTAATTGTGTTTAAAAAAAAAAAGCTCGAAGTTCAACTTAGGTAGCTGTTTTCTCTCAGCAATAATGCAAATGTGTGTTTTGCCTAAAAGCTTTTCCACTTTTTTAGATAAATAACTTATGTCTTTCTTATGGATCCTATCATTCAAAAAAGGCTTTGAAGTTTCGCTCGGCTTCATGTAAAGTTGATAACTAATCACATTTCCAGTGTGTTATGTAATTGGACTCAGCCAGCCGTCACATCATCCGTCAATCCATCGTTCTTGATATCAAACCACATACCCACACATGCTAGACCTCGCAGCCAGCCCAGACCGCTTGGGTGATATAATCAATGTTAAAAGCCTTTTTGCTTTTGAACAGACTGAATCCCCTGACTCTCCAGCCCCCAGCACACAAGCTGGACACGAACGCACACTCACTCTCACGCTTGGCTCGCCCGCGGTTTGGAGGTCACAGCACAAGGACAAGAGTTTGGTTTGTAAACAACAACAAACCTGGCTGTCTTTCTACACTTGCAGAGGATGAACACGCCGCTGTGTGAAGGCAGTCATGTTGCTTTGAAGTAATTGGGCTCAGTTACAGAATTGCTTCGCTCTGAATTTAAATAGAAATCATCTAATCAAATGAGATTCAAGCACTTTTCTGGAAGTGCAGCAGAAGAGCGAGGCATGTTGCAGCGAGACACATTTTCATCTCATTAGACTGATTTTTCAGAACTGCCAAGTCTTCTATGCAGCATGAGATTTTCACTATAATTTCATCACTTGAGCAGAGCGGCCGCATGCTCAATACGATAAATATCAGCGTTGAGTTCTTGCTTTTCTATGTATAAAATTATCTGCACATGAAGGAATTTATAATCTTTTTGCAATGACAAACTTGTGCAGGAAGATTAAGTTAAGTTAAATGACTTCAAGGTTTTGAGACTGATTGGTTTTTAATAGAGAGTGAGAATCTGTCAAAAAAACAATCAGCCTCAAAACTTATTGGTTTTCAACCAGGAATCAGTGGACTGCTACCGACAGGCTTGTGAAAGGATTCCTGAAAAAAAACAAAGTCCACAATATTCATGTCAGATTGTAGTCCTCACTTCTGGTCATGAAATATGGATCATGTTAAAAGGAAGAGATAAAAGATATTAAGGAGACTGTTACTGGGTCAGACATGCAGTACTATCTACTCACTTATGGAACAAGCTTTCAAGTCCATTTATGCAATTCCACTTCTGTCTGTTTCTGAAGGGAAGAGCAGCATCTGCAGCCACAGCTCCTCTGTTTACCAGACTTGTTGGATGTTAGTTCTGGCTTATGTTTTTGTCATTTCTGGACAAAAAATTTACAAGGTCCTTAATAGTCTGAACTTCGGGTGGCGGAAACATCACGAGAGCCTATTCAGCCAATCTGAAAAAGATTTTTGCACTAGATGTGTTACCTCAGACTCAACTGTTTTTGAAAGTAACTTATTAAGATTAAGAGAGAGAGATAATAAAAAAATGACAATGAGGCTGTTTAATATCACTTTTAAGCATATCATTCTATGAAGTATATATTCAGCATTTAACACATTATTCAATTTCAAATTTTTTCTAGGTTAAACAAAAAAGTTTGTTCACAATAGAGAGATTTTGCTTGTATAGACAAACCGTTTTCAGCATAACAATGACAAGGTCACCTGCTTGTCATTTTTTTGGAGATCTCAGGAGATGAGCTCCATGGACAAAGCTGATGTGTTTTTGAGCACTATAACAAAATGGATCAAAATAAAAAACAAAGTCAGATAAAAACTGTAGGTGAAAGAAATTATGTTTAGTAGGTAGAGAGACTGAAATCCATTGCTGCTTTTAAAGCAGCAGAATAAAAACGGCATATTAAAAATGGTTTGGTTCCAAATGGTTGCGAGATATTTCAAGCCTATTATGGTCAGTCCTCAGTGACCTGGAATAATTTTAGCTCTTTCTTTCAAACCATTTACAAAGTATAACAGCAGCAAATATAATTTAGTCTTTTAAATGTTGATGGGGTTTATAAAATTTGTCCTCTAAATACTTATTAACTTTAGGACATTCTGAGTGCACAGTTCTTTTAAAAGCTGATTATTATAATATTTAGGGCAGCGGGTACCTCTTCCATTTCTAAAGGTTTTTCTCGTTATTATATCAGTTTGGTTTGATTCGGCAAGGCTTTATAAGGCTTTTCCTGCTTTCTGCCCATTTTGTAAAATTTTTTATTATTATTTTCAAAAACATTTGATATTTAGAGGAAGTCTTTAATGGGTTAATACATACTTCTTAGTTATTTCTACCTACGCTTACATTCACTGCATATATATCTGCCCCCAAACTGAAACATGATTAAATGTTCTTTGTGAAATTGCACTTTGACCTCAAGTTTTTTTCTTTTGTAGACATCAGGAAGCTTGCGGCGTACTTCTTGTACCAGGTTCTACCATTGTTTGTAAATTGTATTATGAATGAAGTTAGGGCTTTGAAAAGGTCATTTCAGAAACTCAGTGTTAGCCAGCTTTATCCTCTCTAAAATCTTTTTTAATTTTTGATTGCTACAACAGACATTTTATCAATCTTAGATTTTGAGATGACGATGAAAACGTTGGTCATAGCTTTCCTTATTCTCCTATCAACTTTGTACTTTGAACCAGATGCTGGCCTAACATCATGAAGCTACCAGCACCATGTTAAACATCTGATACAATAATCTTAGGCTTGAAAACTTCTCCTTGAACCCTTCACACATACTTCTTGTTAATTTGAGGGGAAAAAAAAGGTTAGCCATCAAACAGCAAAAGAAAATCCTAATATAGAACTGATGAAACCAGGAGTCTTATGTCTCAGGAAGGAGGATTGCTGGAAAGAAAACAAGTGAGAGATTATTGAAGGGTTGCAGCTGGGAGGGAATCAGGTGGCTGAGAAATGAGGGAGGCTGAGCAATAAAAATGACAGAAGGAGAACACCGTGAACACAGGAATAACATAAATGACATCTATTTATGTTATTCCACAAGAAACACTCACGAAAGTTAAAGATTATCCATTTGGGGAGCTGCAAATTTTAGCCACGCTTGAAAGTTTCTGTTGTGTTCAGCTGTACATGAAGATTAATTTTCACTGATGACTGCTGTGCAACCCTGGATGGTCCAGATGGACCTGTGTCCATCTGGACGCAGTAGTGAACTGGTGGTGGACGGCCACCACATCCCAACATGGCTGTGACGTCAGGAAGGAGGTGGCCGAGTCATGATTTGGGTCAAAATCATGGGGAGAGAGAGAATTGGTTGGCCCCTTCAGACTGATCATTTTCTTTCTTGGTTCAAAAAGAAGAGCCGCACCTTCTTCTGAGTTACAGTCAATCAAGTGGCAGCTGTCAAACAAATCCTTATTTTTGTTAGCAAATCAACAACGATTGATTCTCACTCAGTTGTGGTTAATAATGAGAAATGAATAGGGGTTTCCTTGTGAAAATAAATTCTAGAAACTTTACGACCACAAAAACAAATATCTAAGTCAGTGTGTGATGCTGTGTTTTTGAATCTTTCAGAGGAGGACCTGATGGCGTGCTTAAGGATCATTGCATCAGCCTAAGATGGTTGGACATTCAGAGGTTTCTAGTGGATAGCAGAACTTATTGATTTATTTTTTGTTTGTTATTCAAGGCCAGAGAAAGCAAATCAGTCTAAAACAATCGGTCTGTCACTTCAATTTTTGACTGTAGGTGTAAAATCCCTACTTTTGTATGATTGGTTAATTTTACTGCAAACAGAACAAGCTGCACACCTTCCACAAATTTCTGCTTTTGTTTTGAATGTCCACAGAATATTTTCCCTAAAATCTGGGATCATTAAGATGATATTTTGGAAATGTGACACTGGCCTCAGTGTTCTTAGTGACCAGCAGTGGTTTTTGTCCATATTGCTTCAACTGTTGAATCTTGAACACTGTCGTTTACCGGTGTTTGACTGAATGCAGTTCTGGGTTCTTCTGTGACATTGTTTTTGCAATGTATGTCTCCTTTTTTGCAGTTCTATATTGTATATTTATTCTCTTCCAAAGTATTGGACTAAAACATGACCATTTACAAGGAATATGTTTAGTCATCATATTCTCAGTAATGTCCTTGTGGTCTAAATTTAACAGGCAGTTCAGGACTAAACATAGGCTACAGCTAGACTCTGTTTCAGATTGTGCTTTCTGCTCAGTGGTAAGTCAAACAGTGAAGCAGAAAGTGTTTTAAACTCAGTTTATCGGCCTGTGTTGTGCATGATAGGTTCTATATGCTTCTTAGCTTTTGTTTTATTTATATTCAGCACCTTTGCAGTCATGACCACCAGCTGGTAGCGGTGGGATCTCTGTTTTACGACTCTGCACTGTACACACCGTTGGCTTGCTGTCTATTAAATGATTTTCTGTCCAAACAGATGTACTCAGGCAGTAGTTTATTCTTGTGTGTATCATCAAATGAGCACACAACCCAAAACGCTCTGCTGGGAGACAAGCGAACATATTTATAGTTGGAACAGAACAGCTCCAAGCTGTGAGATGTTTTTTTTTCTTTCATTTTATTTTATTTTTTTCTGAGGCAAAGAGCAACGTGGGAGGCAGGAGCCTGTGTTCTCCTGCTTCACGTTCAGCTGTTGCTGCAGATTTGTGTTCCTGTCTAATTCATCATGCAGATGTGCTGACCGTCCTGGTCCCTGTGGCACGGAGAACTGCTTCAGTAAGGGAATCAAATTAGCCATTGAGGTTTCATTGTTGAAATAAAATGCTGACTCACGAGGATTTATTTGGGAAAAGGGTCGCATCCAGAGGAGAGGAGGACTCATCTTTTTTTGTTGTTGTTTTTGCATGTTGACCCAATATAGTTTACATCCTCGTTCAGTCTGTTTGTTTTTAATTTACCGTTATAAGTGCCATAATTTCATCACACTTTTTTTGTTTTGTTTTTGTTTTTAAACACACTTTCTATCTAAATACACTCTGCCACCGGGAGGCTCTCCTTCTGACCGAGTCATTGTGAGGTTCCAGAGTATTTTATATGCAATTCAATCTTTGTTTTGCACTTATGCAGCGATGACTCAGAGAGATTTTTCTTCGTTCTGTTTGTCACGTTTTGTGTCTTGTGTCTTGTGTGAGTGTTTTGCACAGTTCGCGATCTTCGTTGAGCCAAGCGGACCTGTGCTGTTCTGTCATGTTCACTATTTCCCTTTTCTTTGTGTGTCCGTTGCCTTACCCTGTGTCTTTTGCTGTGATGTTGTAGAGCTTGGGACTTATGGGAAACTAAAATATTATCACTCAATGACTGAGGAAGGTAAGCCCAAAAGTTTTCACTTTTTTCCTTGTGTAATTCAGCTGTCGTCATCCTCTCTTGATTTCGTCCCTCTCCTCCTCATCTTCTCATGACGAATCAGCACTTTGCTTCCGCCCTCTTTTTGTGTTCTTGCTCGTGACACACATTTTGCATAGTTTTGTTTTTCAGTTTGACAGCAATCTCTGAGATTTCACTGACATAAGTGCAAATCATGGTGTCCATGCCACTTTTTTTACATTTTCATTTTAAGTTCGCTTTTTTTCCTTTATTTCAAGCTTTGTCGTCGCTATCAAACAAATTTGTGTTTTCCTGTGAGGTGTTTTTATTTTTTTTTAGCTGTGTAAAATCAAAGAGTCTTATGTTTCTCACAGTGCTTTGCAAATGTATTCATTTACATTTTTTCATGTCACAACCACAGATTTCAATGGACAAACCAACAACAAAAAAAGTGTCCTTCCTAGTGTAATTCTCTTGCAGCTCTATACTTAGCAGACCATCATGTCAATGCAGATAAAGCTACAATCTTTCCTTGTAGAGAGTGAGATGTTTGTCCATTCTTTGTAAAATACCTCAAATTCAATCAGGCTAAATGGCGATTATCTCCGAACATCACATTTCAAGTCTTGCCAGTCCAAATTCTCAGTTGGATTTAAGTGTGGACTTTGACCAAGTCTTTCTAACACATTAACACAGAGTAATGTGCAGTATTACTTTTCAGCTAAATCTAAAAGTTACATTTTTAGTAACTCTCCTCTAACCAAAAACACACTGGCCAATTTTTGTTGTGTCCCCAAGAGCCTGGGTGTCAAACTCTTTTTCATTTTAGGCCACATATAGACGTTCTTAAAGGTCTGGCTGTGGAAGAACAAAGTAGATAAAACACATTAAGAAATTTTGAAAATACTAATGCATAATTTGTCTCTACATTCAGTGAATTCTTCACATTAAGTAATATTTAAGATCTTTTCACACTGATTAAATTTTGCTGGTATACAGATAAAATCTGTAAAAAGCGACAGCAGGCTGAGTTTGACGAAAGTGGCCTGGATGGTCTTGTGTCAGATTTCTAGACTTTTAATAGTTTTCTTTTAGCCATCTCTTTATGCAGATTTGTGCTGTAAAGGACAAATAGTCATTTGGTCAGAATTTTCCAAGGATCTCTTTAGCTCCACCAGAGTTACTCTACCTCTCTTGGTACGCCTGATTAATTCGGCCTCTCAGTTTAGAACAATAATCTAATTTAACTCTGCTTCAAAATTCTCTCCATTTTCCTTGACCTCTCTGCAGAGTTCCTTCACCTCTGTGATACTGTTTGCTCACGCCAACAAACCTCCCCAGGCTTTCACAGCTCAATTTATAGTAAAATTGAATTACAAACAGAGGCACTGTAACATTAATAATGAAGATATAATGTCTCAAATGAATTGGTTGTGTTGGATTTCATTTAGGACTAACAGAATAATGGGGCTGAATTAAAAAAAACATTACACCTTTTATATTTTACCATAAAATGTAAAAGGAGCCATAATTATTTATTTTGTAATTATCCAATACTTTCCGTTGGTCAAACAAAATCTAATAAAATGAATTAAAGTTTATAGTTGCAACTGTAAAAAAAAAAAAAAAAGTGCAAAATATTAAAGGCTCTGAATACTTTTGCAAGGAATGTGAATGTACTAAAATATCTTTTTCCCAGTCTGCTAAAACGTCAAGCGGACATATGCCCATTCATATTCAGACTTCAAGAAACAAAAGATCAGTTTTTTTTCCTCCGTTGCTCTCGCTCGGTTTCTTTGTTTCTGTAACCCATCTGCGTTGCTGAGAAATACATCATGCACGCCTCAGCGCCCGCTCGGAGGGTTCACTTACACCAGCAGCGGGTGCGCACACCTGAGACGTACGTTGCTGAATTTGGCAAACCGGAGTGACTCATCCGCCCGCCGCCGCTTACGTAACGAGCGGAGCTGACAGGGAAACAGAGCGACTGTGTCAGAGCCAGACAGGCAGGGAAGGAATGGGCTTGGTTATTCTCAAAGACTCTTAAATATTCCACAAATTACGGTGCCCCTGTCTGTAGCTTTGGCAAAGTGTAACTAGTTCTTGCAGAACTGATTAATATAAAAAAATTAAAAAAACACTGAAGCAAGTCTGAAGTTTTTTCCTCTGTGCTGCAGTTATCAATAACAAGCTAGCCCTGTTTGCCTGTGAGAACATCTTCTTCATATATCTGCAACATCGTTAAAAGCCGACCTCGCAATAAATCTTTTTTCATATTTTATTTTCTCTTAGAAAAGAGCTAAATGATCTATGCTGGAAGGTAAAATGCTAAATGGTCTGTGATTCCATAACACAAGTGAAATAAAAAGATACTAGTCGGATGATGAATTGCACTTTCTCTTTGGGTGGACCATAGGTCGTCCACTTTACAGACATGCTCTTCATGTTCACTCAACAGGACATTTAAAAGATGGCATCCTAAATAAGAGAGATGTGTCATCACATTAGCATTAGCTAAAGTTGTTATTAAGCACTGTGGGAGAGTTCCAAGACAAAAACTACTGTTGACCTAGAAGAACATTTATCATCATTTCACCTTTTTTTCCAACAAACAAATTGATAAACTCTTTGGAAGGTGTGTATGCATTAAATGCAAAAAATGTTTTGAAAGCAGCATACCTTCACATGGTGGCGGTAGAGCCAGTGCTTAGTAGAAAGGAGTTCTGTTGTTTAGCATGTGAATTTTAAGTTCACATGTACTTGGGTTATCCTGCGGAACAATGTTGAGAAGCAAACAACAAGTGGCTCAAAAATAAGTATTTTTGAAGGTTTTTGGCAGGTGCTGGGCAAACATTTATCCAATCACTGTTAAGATGAAAAGACTCAGAACTGCTCTTTCAGAGAGTCAGCACTGACTCAGAGTTCTTTTTATACTCAAGAAAAATGTTTTATTCAATCATATTAATAAGACAAGCTAAAGAACATAGCTTCACAACAGGCTGCCGTGAGGTTTGAAACTTGCAGCTCTAGATATAAACTTGGACAGTTGACTTTAAAAGAGGGTCTTCAAGAGCACTCTATATTTTACAAAATGATTCAAATAAAGACGTGACATAAGCCCTAAGTTCAGACAGTTATTAACCTTGAAATCCAAAGTTTAACACAGTCATAAGACTTTAGCGCAAGCCATATTTTTTTTATTACCTAAGTGAACTCTGACCTGGACATATATATTGTGTGATGCCATTAATGCTTCAGAAACCATCCAATTTCACTGATTTCAAACAATTATGCGAAAATATGTCAAAACCACCTCTGCAACTCCTGATAGCATTTGCCTCAGCCAAGGATGGCACAACAAGTTTTTAGATGTGGAAGCTTTTTTTTTTTCTCTCCCGAGTGATCAGATTGTTTGGGACAACCCCTCCTCCCCCAAAATCATCTCATGAAAATTGCATTTTGAATTTGCTCAGATTAAAATTAGTCTACTGATCACACATTTGGTTGGGTTCTTGAGCGTTTTCTGGCAGGAAGCACGACTCGACCATTTCTCACCCACATTTTACACAAATTCACACTCGCTGTCAAACGCAAAAGCAACTGAGAATAACCGCCTAAGGTGAGTGATGTCTGGGCTTTCAAACATGTGACGCCGTCTTGTGAAAATGTGGTGCGTGCCGTGTGTGCTCGTGTTGCTGTTTTGGCACGGGGAGGCTGGGAGGGGGTCGTGCTTTGCCAAACAACGACAGACGAGGTGAGAGAAAGATGGATGAGTGACGAGGAAGAGAAGCGATGCAGAGACGAGGAGTGAGAGAGAGGAAACGGGAGCAGAGGAGCAGCCAGCAACTTGGGGTTATTAATGATTTTGCCTGAAGGTCACAGACAGTGTCGACATGGCTGGGTGGAGTACATATTGACGCCTTACTGTGTCGAGCACTTACAAATCAGCCGTGCTGTCTGAAATAAAATAAATAAAAAATCTTTTGCATCGATTTCAGTGGTGGAAATCAGGCGTGGAGAGAACAGATATCCAGCTAAACATGAAAGCACATGAATGTTTACTTGTGGATTTGCTTACTTAAAAACATCATTCTCTTGCTAAATTTAAAAATTAAATTTATTGTCGGAAATATGCTTCACAAATTTTGATTCCACTCAGGATTTCTTAGGGTGTCTGTAGTGTGTTCTGTTTTCTGTTTCTGGTGGGAATGAAACAGGATCTCCATGTTGATGTATTTTAGAAGAACTTTGCTTTGTTTCCTCTGTCCAAAAGCTGATGAGGACTAAATGAGTCTGACCTCCAGAAGACGGATTTCTCCCTCGGCCTCCGTCTGGGATCAAGACATTACAAATATCAACTATATATGCTACTCCACCTCATACTGACGCCATATTGTTCGAACATCACAATAGCACCGCTTATCTGTTTGTCCTGTGCTTCCTGAATGTGACCTACGACAGATCAACGTTGACAACGGAGGAGAGAAACTGAGCACGTTTGAAGATGCGTTGCTTCAGTAAGTCTCCTCTTCTGTTTTTGTGCACACAGGTAAATTTCGTGAGAAGGCATCTATCCTTCACAAGATCGCTAAAAAGAAATGCCAAGTGGAGGACAGCGAGAAGGCCAATGGAGTAGCAAGCCGTGCAGGTAAAAACCTCGGCTGTTGCAAGAACACACATTAACTCGCCGTCCTTCTGAGAATGTCACTCGGTGATTCGGAGCTCCAAAGAGTAAAGCAGGCGAACGTGAAGCTGGAACCAGCTGTACCCAATCCACTAAAAATCCCATTTACAGATTTTATTGTTACTGATTCGCCCTACCTGCTGGTGTATTAAACCAATTGTTGAAGTCAGTCCACTGTTGCTTTGTAGGTTGGAATTTAAAAAGTTTTAAGACTACCAGTGTAGATGAGGCATTTCTTCAAAATACTGATGGTGTTTCATGCCTTAAAGTGAAAAAAGTCAACGCAGCAACCTCTTTTTCAAGTGCAACCTTTAAAACAAACACAAACCACGATTGTCATTGAGGGTCATGAAGATGTGCTCTGGGGTGCATTGAAATGTAATTCAGTTCCAATTACTCCTGATTTGTATTCCTGGGCTTCCTGTTGGTGAACGAACCCAGAACAAATCTTTCCACTTTCATGCAGACGAAAAGAATCAAATCATTCCAGCTTTTGGTATTTCATAATTTGCACCCTCAAACCCCCAGATATAATCTTAAGTGCTCGACCACAATGAACCTTGATAATGTTTTTAAAATAACTAGTAATGCCTTCTCATTTTAGTCTATTGTGAGATTTTGTCAACGAAAGGGTTATACAGATGCGAGTTTATTATTAGTTTACCTACTAAAACAAAATGCGCATGTTCTCGCTGAAACTTTACCCGACTTTATAAAAACTTTGCTAAGATTTTCCCCACTGAAATGATTAATGAGATCACAGCCGACGTTGAACAACTATGACATTACCAAGGACAGCCAAATTGATCGCAAGTGTTGTCTTCAAGCAGTGTTTAAATCAATCACACTCACTGCCAAGAGTAATTCGGGTGCGCTTTATTTCCCCCCCCCTCAAAGCGCACCGAACCAAAGAATAAAAAACAAACACAGGCCGACGGAGGCACTGGCATGGCTTCGATGTTGACAGAGCAGGAGAATCAAAGCAACATCAAAAACATAAATGCATGCTAACAGCGCTGCATTAACATATTATCCTCTTAATCAACATGCAACACTGCTGGTCATAAGAGCAGTGTCAGGACTCTGATTTGATAAGTTCAAGCTCAGCAGTATCACCTGGTAATGCGGCGTGCATAATGCAGTAACAGTTCCTTCATATCTCATTTTGATCTGCAAAATCACAATCCATACATGTGGAAGGGGGAGGGAGTAGTTGAGGTCATGTGCTGGGATATTGTCATATTAAGTCACATTGTCTATCTTAGACTCATCCTAATTGTGTCACAACCACAGTTGGATTAAAGCAATTTCCACAGCAATTACAGTTTTATCATCTGATTACATGGCTTTAGGCTTTCTGTAGTTTAGCGAGGACACAAGTCCGGCCTCCAGTGAAATGGAGGCCTGTGAGCCAAAGCAGGAGGAATGAAGGTAGTAGCAGTCATGCACATGCCTGTCAGCACACAGAGAGCCAACTCGACTGGACCCAAGTCTGTGCTTGTTGATTTCTATTTAAGTTTCCATGTTGATGTCTTGAAGCTATTTCTGTTACAAGTTTCAACCAGGGCATTTGATGTGTGCAGGTGAAAGTGTTAAGAAATTGGAAATGAGAATCTTTCCTATCTAATGTGAAGCTTTTGCACACTGAAGACAGATGTTTGCTTAGAGAGGTCAGAGGTGATGAGAAATTTTGAAGACAAAAAAATATATATTTTGGGAGAGATTGTAGCTATTATTTTCTGTCCATGGTAAATGTTATATCAGTTTAAAATATTAGGGTTTTTGATGGGTGAATAGAAAAGAAAGATACACTTTTAAATGACCAGCTGTAAACCACAACAACCTCCCCCCCCGAAAACTCTGTTTTTTATCACATAAAATCTAATGAAGTTAACTATAAAGCAGTAAATAAATGCATAAATAATAAACACGATATTTACCAACATAAAAGGTAAACAACAAAAACTTCAATTTACAGAGTAAATAACATTTGAATTCATGAGCTAATTAATTAAACCAAAATCAGTGGCTTAATGTTCTTTAGGTCAATAAGTTTAATAGCACAGCCCTTTGCTTGCATCCTGCATTCTGGGGAAAATGATTCATACTTTTTTTTTTAAAGTGTCAGGTGTTGGCTGAATGAACAGGTGAAAAGTTAGGAAAAACAATATAACATCACTTCATCCACATTTTTAGCGTAAACTCAATCATTGATTTTCCATGTGTGTTTCTGTAGAAAAGAATCTTCCTAACAGCTCCAGCGTGGAAGTGGAGGTGACCCCACCTATGAACGGGACAGCAGGGCAAGAGGGAGAGACGGTAAGAAACCATTAAATGCTAACCAGCAACTTTTAGACTCAAAGCTGCACTTCATGCAGCTGGATCGCTCTTTTCAAAGATAACGGATCTGCGAGACCAGTTCACAGTTACGGAGACATTTATGAATAGTTTATGCCTTTGATTTGTCCCTTTGTTCCTCTGTGGGTCTGAAAAGGTGGCACAGATTATGGCACAGGCCACCGCAGCTGATAATTTCCCAGCATGCACCCTTCCATTTGCGGCCGGACCTGCAACACCACCCGCCTCTTCCCTCAGAGTTCTATGACCGCAGTCCTCGCTCACCTGTGGCTCGCCGCCGCTGGGTGCTCCAGGCGAGACCCCTTTGACGAACGGCCACACGCAGGTGCCAACCTTCGGCAGGTCGGGCTGGCATTAAAAATGGCGGCGGGATGCAGCAACCCGCCGAGCGAGCAGACGGTCCTGGCACAGATGGGCAGCGATTCAAAGTCACATGTTTAAAAAGAGAACAGACAACAGATGTGCTGTAATTTCTCCCTTTATATCAGTAACTGTGAACATGAGCTAAACCACGAGGCATTTTCAAACTTGATGGAATCGTAGTTGCGTGGATTGACTTATTCATGTTTTTCCATGCAACAGGAAATAATAACATATATTGGAATTCCAGATAATAACATTAAAAGATTGTGGCATAAAACCATGGGCGAATTTTATTGCAATTTTAAATCAGAAAGCAGGATTTCATCTCTCTGCCCTCGTTGGCTACTGTACTGGTTTGGGAGACAGTTTTCTATTCTTGTGCAGAGACTAAAAATGCAAACCCAGGTGGGAGTCGCACTGAAGGATATCAGAGTACAAAATACGGTCATGTCTGTATCGATCCACTGCACTGCAAGTTATGTTCACATTCTCCAGTAACGCTTTGGGTTAAAAATAGTACTAGAAAAAAAAAAAAGAAACTAAACAGCCCTCTAGCTGTAAAAAAAATATCTGCTTCTGTTGAAGAGGAAACAATCCTTCATCTTTCCGACTCACTTAAAAGCCTCTGATGTGATTCCAAAAATGATTCCTTCAGGACTGGAGCGCTGAAGAGCAGTGGCGGAGCCAGAGGGGGGGCCGGGGTGGCATTTGCCACCCCCAACAGAGCCCTTGCCACCCCTACTGCCACCCCACTGGAAATGGTCATTTTAAAATATAATACTTATGAGATCGGAAAAGATTGCCAGGAAAACTGTAATTTCCGACTGTCCCTGAAGGCAGCCCGATGCCCGACGCTGTTCATTGGTTAAACTGACATGTGGATCCTGCTTGATCCAAAACACATCAACGGCTTTAGAGTTACACCGTCGAGGAGTTTTGCAGGTATTTACAACATTTTACCGCTCAGCGGTAACCGCTGTTACCTTCCTAATGAGAGGCGGCACTTGTCATACATTTCTAAAAAAAAAAAAAAAAGGTTGTGTACCGCTGTGTAGTGCCTCGTTTATTATATTAGCCATGCTAGTGCTGATAGATCGTGTTTCAGACAGATTCTTTTAACATATGTTTTAGTGCACATACTGCCCTGTAATGTTTTATATCTCCCAGCTCTTGCTTGAAATGTGTGGTAAGAATATGTGAAAAACCATTAAGTTTTATAATGACTGAAATGTAAGTAGGCTATCATATGAAAGCTTTGAATTATAACCTAACTAGTTATATTAATTAATTTTGATCGAAAGGAAACATATTTTTTTCTTTTCGTTCCATGGAACGGTCCATTTGTATATGGACCCCTCTGATAAAGCCTTGCTCACCCTTTGGCCACCCCTTGAAAAAAAGTCTAGCTCCACCACTGCTGAAGAGTCCTTACTTGTGTGCATATACAAGATCATTTCTCAGGTGGTGACTCACTAACTTTGATAGACCTGGATGCTTATTGGCACGTCTAATTCTTACATCCTGCTATTTTTAGACATCTGTCCCACAGTGCACCTGTCTGTGTCACCCAGGAAGTTACTGGAAACTGCTCACGCCATCATGTGCCACCAGAGGCCCCGTCGTACTGATTGTTCCATTCCTCCTCTGAAGCCTTGGCAACAAGGAATAGGGGGGATTGTTAAGGTCAAATTCAAATCAGAAGCGGACATGTTGTGCAGTTTCTTAATGAAACGCTTAGAGACAAATTTCTGCTGTAACATACTGACATGTTTCCGACGACATAGGAAGATAAATGGGACCGAGAGTATGATTCACAGCAAAATCTCGTTCTGTGTTTTGGATTTACGACTGCCTTGATCACAAAGCAAAGAAGTTTGAGCGTCCTGTGACTCGTCACATAAAAGGAATTCAGAGAAGTCCATGCAGCGTGTGTCATGACAGGATTTAATGCTAGATTTGCTTTTCCCTTTGAAGAAAATGAGAAGAATTTCATGTCTAAATGAAACGTGTAAAAAAAAACCCCAACAACATCCAAGCTGTGAATGCTGTGAGAAAACGACTAAAAGTGTTGACGTAAACCTGTTTCGACATAAATTGACAAAAAAAAAACACATTTCTGGTATCTCACCTTAATCTCACATAAGTACAGTCTATGCGTTCTACAGAAAGGTCACTATATTTTACTCGTTTCTTGTTACCTACAATCAACAAATACATCAGGTCTGATGGCTTACTTGCACTTTCTTTGAACAATTTTAGCCCGACTAATATTAGTCTAACACCAGGTGCCAAGAGCAAACGCTCACCTCCAGAAGAGAAAAGAAAAAGAAGAAAACACACACACATTAGCCAAATGTCAGGCCACCCCTTGCATCTCTGTGGTGTCTGATAAAAGTCAGTCCCTTTAAGCATAGAGTTGGCAGTGTTACCAACTGAGGCACCACAAGGCAGGAAAGGCCCCCGAGGGGCTGGCATTTCAGAACCAGGCTAGAGCAACATGGGATGCTTTAGCTCACAAAGCATGTTAAGCAAAATCACACACATTCAGAGTTGTGGTTCAGAAAAGCTGCTCTGTAAATCCAAAAATATTCACGCTTGACAGGTAAAAGATGAAATTTGTAATGATTTGTAAAACCTGCGAGAGATGGCTGACTAGCACCCCTGGTCAGCTACCAAAATAAGTTCAACATTTATTGTAGTACCATAATCTCAAAGAGATATTTTTATTTGACTTTCTGTTATTAGAAAAACTATTCTCAATTTGAGTACATTTGTTACATTTAAAAAAAAAAAATCCCTAATTGGAAATGCCTGTTTTTTTTTTTTTTTTTTTTTTTTTGGTTTGTTGATCAGGTCAAAAGTCCCACACTTGTTCACACCCTTGCTGGTAAAGTGTTATTTTTTCCTGGTGGCCAGAGGTGGCAATACATCTGGAGAGAAATGGCATAAACAACATATTTTTTTATCGCTAATTAATGAGGTTCTGAAAAGAAGTAATTGTTTTTGTTACATCTAGCGATGAAGGTGCTTACTAAGAGGAGCAGCTGGTGGAGCTTTCTGAAGAGAAACTAAAAAAAAACAAAAGATGCTATAAAACAACAAAACAGAGAACAATTTCAAACTCCACTTCATCCAGCTTCATCAGTGGCAAAATAAGGAATAAGTAGAAAAATTAGGAATGAATTTTTGTTTACTCCAAGTCTTCCTGGCGTTTAATCTGAGTATTATTGAAAACTGACCAAATCTTCTACATCGGTGCATCAAAGTTGCCTGAAAAACTCCGCTTTGCATCCATCCCAAATCCGGTGGAATTGAGACGGATGCTTCTCTCTTTGCGTCTGTGGTCAACGTATTTCAGTTACTTTCTGCCTTTATCTTCTCCTCCTACACAATCTGCCGTGCAGTAATATAAAATTCCCTTTGGGGATTATTTAACTCTTATGAAATTCAATCCAGACAACAATGCAGCCATCTGGATATGGAGAACAAGTAGAGATGTGGATCCAGAGAAGGAGAGAAGCGAGCGCTGCCTTTTGTTAGGCGGCTCTGATTACCAAGGTTACCCCGCGATGCTTAGCAGCTGTAGCTGTCACAGCAGGACAAACGTCACATGATTCATGATTCGTGCTAAAGCCTTTTCCTTTTTTTTTCTTCCAAAGATTGCTGCTTTGCTCTAATGGTATGCAGAGCAGATCTAATTGAGAATGTTAAGGATTTCTTGAAGTAATTACAGTCCACAACGCATCAGCTGTTATCAGCAGGTGTTTTACTGTACATCCAGCTTCTTGTTGTTTTTATGCCTCGCCAATGTCATTCACACAAGGGCAAAGAACCTCTAGGTCATCCACATATGCATGTGCAAATCCGTGGTCCATTATCATCTCCTGTAATTGGATTCAAAGGAGACGAGACAAATATCTGCTGCCAGAAGTGTCTGCTGCTGCACCACTTCAGTTCAGAGGCAAGGCGAGCCTGTGAGTTAATAGAAAATATGATTTAGCTGCGGGGATGTTTCGTGGTAATCACCGACTCTCTGTGGCTTCCTTGGCATTCTGGCGGCAGGTCCGGTCAGAACCCCAGGGGTCGGGGCTGCAAGGCCGACATCAGCAGTCAACGCTGATGAGTCCCGCTCCTGAAAGAGAGCCTGTCGAGCTCCGTGCAATCACCCAAATCGGTCATCAGGCTTGTGCGTCTTAAAGGGGTAGGTCGGGACTGTTGGAGGGAAGTTTTAGGTTAGAAGCGTTTTACATGTTAGCCGCTAGATTCCTCTCCTGGCGTATTAGTTGGAGGCTCAAGACAGTAGCTTGTCCAATGCCAATGCAAACTTGCATCATGTTAAAACAAATCAAAACTCAAAAATATCATACACGTTTGTCCAAACTGTGTTTTAAAATGGCTTACGTTTGCATTAGGCAGCTATTTGCTCATAAACTGAAGATAATTTGAACAGGAAATAGTTTGGAGAGGCACCACTAATGATCTGCCGGTGTAAACTGGAACATGTAAAGCAGACTAAAACACACAAAGCGTTTCTTTACCTAACAGTAACTGAAAAAAAGCAAAAATATTAAAGATGTTTAAGTTGTTCATTATTGATTTTGACACTTCCTTACCTCACTGTGAGAATAATGTGAAGGTATTGTTCATCTTTGGCTCAGTGTCGGCTACTCTTATTAGTGGTACGTTAAAAAAAAGCTATTTTGCAATAAATAAAAAAAAAGATCAGAGTAAGTCAAATATACATCTTTCACCTGGAAAGACCAAGATCTATTGGGCTCCAAGAAGAACTTGTTATTCACAATATGGCCGACACACAGGCAGTCTTCTTCAGACACTTTCCTGTTCTGTTTTCAGCTTGTTTTTGACACAGCGGGATATTTGATGGTAACTATCTTCAGCTTATTTGTAATTAACCGATCAATGCAACAGTCAAGACAGGCTACAGGTTCTTAAAGTAGGATTTGTATTAAATGGTTCGGATTAGTTTCAACCTCCCCGATGAGCTTGTTTGGATTTACATGGAAATGCCAACAGAGTGTTAACTGTTAATAACCTTTCCACAGAACCTTTCTTTGAAAACCCGGAGCTGTCCATTAAAGGTAAGCGACGGCACGCGGGCTCCCAAGTCGTGCTGCTCCCGCAGACCTCTGCGCGTTGTCGTGCTGCTGCCTTCCTCTTTGTGATGGTTGCTATGGGAAGATGCATCCTGATGAGATTATTTATCAAGCTGAAGGACTATAGTGGATTTTTTTTCCCCCATCACCCTTTAATGCACAGGCAAAAAGCATGACTCAGCCCATTAGGTTATTTTCTTCGTGTTTGGCTGCTAATTATTTCCAAATGGTGGACTGAATTATGTGGACACCGGCATGGCAGCAATACGTGACAGCCTGAGACTGAAAACAAACAAATAAACAAACAAAAAACATGTGTCAACGTGTATGATGGGTGTTTTTATTCAGGTATATACATATAACAGCGGTTTCATTTTTTTTTCTTCTTCATCTTGTGACATCTGCTGTCAGGCTGAAGATGAGGAAGAGGAGGACCAGCCTCTGAGCCTGTCCTGGCCCGAGTCCAATCGCAAGCGCTTCACCTACCTCTTTATCATGCCCATCGTCCTCCCCCTGTGGCTGACTCTTCCTGACGTCAGGAAAACGGTGACTTTCCCAAACTTTTTCAAGAACGTCGCCTCTCTTCTAGACGAGATTTGTTCACCTTTTCTTTTTTCTTTTTCCTTTTCAGTCGTCAAAAAAGTTCTTCCCGGTTACATTCCTGGGGGCCATCTGCTGGATTGCGGCATTCTCCTATCTAATGGTGTGGTGGGCTCACCAGGTATATGCAGCACAACAGGTTTTGTTTTGAAAGTATCAGTGCAGCGGCACAAAAAAATGCCTAGTAAACAAAACTCTTTTCCCCCATCCTTTACATTTGATTAAACATCATTACAGCCATACCTATCAAAACATAGCTGACTATGAGTTTTGTCACTGCCATAAGCGCCGAAGCATCACAAGGAAATTAAAAATAGCTGCACCAAATATGAGGTTGTATTTACCCTGGAGCTTTTTTTTTTTTTTCTCTTTGCAGGTTGGCGAGACCATCGGGATTACAGAGGAGATTATGGGTCTGACTATATTAGCAGCTGGAACCTCTATCCCCGACCTCATCACCAGTGTCATTGTGGCACGCAAGGGGCTGGGCGATATGGCCGTATCCAGCTCTGTGGGCTCCAACATCTTCGACATCACTGTTGGGTACGTCGTATCTGAGAGTTTTAAGTCTTGGTTGTGCAGACCTCGAAGTAAAATGCGGTAATGATGAATCTGTCCTCACAATCCTCTCTGAGAAGCAATTTCATTTGAACATACGAGATTTTTGCATTTAAAACAGTCATTATCTCCTCATGTCACTCTGAAAAGAAATAAATTATTTCATTTTATTGTATTCCATCTGGTCATAGCAGCCTGTTCTTTGGAAAAGAAAATTATAGAATTATAGATCTCAGTTATGTGGTTTTAAAAATTTGTTGTGGTTTTTCAGGATTTGATCTGAAAGATCAACACCAGACAGCAAATTACTGTGAAGTGGAAGGAAAATGACACATGATTTTGAGCATTTTTATGCAAATAGAATCTGAAAGGTTCGGTTCACATTTGAATTCGGAGCCTCCAATCTGCTTTGTCGAAGCGCTTTCCTCTGCAATTATTGCTGCTTTCTATCACCTTTTCACATTTACAGATGGACATGCTTGCCCAACATTCATTTAGGCAAAATAGTCCAAGCTCAGTCAGACTGGATGCATATTTAAAGATCAATCTATGAAGTTTTGCCACAGATTCTGCACTGGACTTTGACTAGACCATCCAGACACAAATTATGCTTTGATCTAAATCTGTGTTTAGGGTTGTTGTTGAACCTCTGAGTTGCTCCCCTGGATTTTATTTTGGGATATTAAGGCAAAGTGGGCTTAATGCAAATGTACACCACACTTTTCAGATTTTTATCTGTAAAAGATGTGGTGAACCGAATGTCATTCTCTTCCCACTTCATAGTTATGTGCATGAGTTCTTTGTGATTGTAAAGTGGCAACATTTGAAAAGGGATGAAGGGATTTGAATGCGAAACGTTTGGTCATGCCGTTGCTTTCTCAACAACATGTTCGTACCTTTGCAGGCTGCCGTTTCCCTGGCTCCTGTGGTCCATGTTCCGCGGCTTCATCCCGGTGCAGGTCAGCTCCAACGGCCTCTTCTGCGCCATCGTGCTCCTCTTCCTCATGCTCCTCTTCGTCATCATCTCCATCGCCGCGTGCAAGTGGCGAATGAGCAAGCTTTTGGGCTTCATCATGTTCATGCTGTACTTCGTCTTCCTGGTTGTTAGCGTCATGCTGGAGGACAGGGTGATCAGCTGCCCCGTGTCCGTCTGACGGGCCCGCCGGGGAGCTGCCCTCCCCTGACCCACCTCGTCACCATCCAACAACCATCCATACAGCCTGCCGTCGATCTCACCTGACCCTCATGATCCTTTCCACCACAAGAACCGCGCGTGAGGAGTAACAAAAAAACGGGACGAAACATGGAATCTGCGAACAATTTTGGCCCACGGGGAGGAGGGGTGACGATTTTGTGGATAATCTTTTTGAGGAAAGGGCGCGAGCCAAGTGAAAAGGTATTATGCATGCAATTAAGCTCACTGGAGGATCTGGATTCAAGTCGTCGCCTGACATGTTGGAGTGGCAGCATGCTCACATTTTCAACAGCAAAAATGCCACGACTTGAGCAGCAACTGTGAGCACATTTGAACGGACAAGCTCGCTCAGCAGGCCGAAACAAATGTTGGACGCAGATGAATTTATTCATGAGGACATGGCAGACTCTGCGGATGAGTGTTTCGCTCCAAAGCCGATGGTATCGAGACTCTCGTGTGAGATTTCTGTAGACAAACTTTTCCTCCTTTTTTTTTTCTTTCTCTTTTTTTTTTTTTTTTTTTTGCGGATCCATCTGTGCTCGGTCTTTATAACACGTTTCAGCCTTCATCCTGTCCTGCCAATTGCCGTCGACACATTTCCACTGAGCATTTTTTTTCTTTTGGCTCAATAGAAGTAGCAGTAGGTTTACAGTAACAGTATTATTCAACGTGAAGCCATCTTAACAGTCTGCTTCTCTTCTTCTCTCGCTGATTGTACAGAATCCTCCATGCTTCACATGTACCGGTTTAAAAAAAAAAAAGCTTAAAGCCTGACTGAAGTTTAGAGACTAGCCTTCAAATATCTCACAGTTTGGAAGAAATGCATGAGTACATAGGCTTAATAAAGTTAAATACCTAGAAGTACCACATGAAAAAGATGTTTACCATGTTTAAGCATCATGGTTGGCTTAGATTAGTCAATGTGTAGTGCTTCGTTCACCATAAAACTTGCCTCAAGTCACCTAATCAAACCGTTTGAGGCCAAGTAACAAGGCATAAACTGCATGGGGAAAAAAAAGACCCTTCAGGGTGAGAAAATAACTAACATTAAGAAAGTTGTATACGAAAAAAAAAAAAAATTACTTTTGTTTTTAACTACTTTTTTGCAAATCAAGACTCAATCTCTATGTATGGTCAACGATATCTATCGAGCTGTCTATCAAACCATTTTCTCTCCAATCAAAGGTGCTTTTGTGTGCATGTGTGCAAATGTGCATTTGGAGTCACCACACTGAAATTTACTCACTTATAGAGGCATTTTGCATAATGTACGCACACCGATTTGTCTCTCTTTAAGCTACGTAGATTGTGGAAAACTCACAGACTTTATAGCAATATACCACATGTCGTCTTTGAGAGTGTAGTCGCTCCATGCCTGTTTTGCTAATTTGGGAATCTCTTATCAGACGCCTTCAATGGAAGATGAGCAACAATAAGCGGTACGCCAATTTTCATTTTGAAATGTGACATGTTAAAATGGAAAAAACTAGTATTTCTTTTTTTCTTCGTCTTTTTTGGGCTTGAGAAGAAATCAATATGTTTGCTTGAGTTTACTGAATAACAATGCATAAAATTGTAGTTAAAAAGAAATGCTGACACTTCCACTTGAAGCAGTAGCATAATTTTAGATGTGTTTATTTTCTTCTTGACCCTTAACCCTAAAAGGTAGGACCTCTCATTTGTTTCCATGGAGTAAAACGGAGATTAGGTAGTAAAAAAATAGATATTTTTCAATGTAAATGATTTTACCATCACAACAACCACTGTCTTAAATGTAGTGCTACAGGAATAATAACACACAAAACAACAGAAATGTCTAGTTCGTTGTTTGCTCATGTTACCAAAATGGAAATCTAGTTTTATCATCTTGAAAAATACCTGCAGTCAGATAATCATCAGTTACTCTTAAAGTATACAAGATGTGTGTTCTTGTTAAAGTTTGCAATGTTAGAACAGCTATGCACCACATAGGTTTTTTAATGTTATGAATACATTTAAAATGTACTGTAACAGATTTATTTTTCAATTTTTTATTCTTTAATTAGGATTAAAAAAATAAATAAATAGTGAATTCTGACACAAGATTTTACACATAAATGCCTCTTAAATAATGTATCATTAAGCCCAGAATTAATCATACCCCTGGAATATTTACATTAAAAGTAATCTTTTATTTTGACCAACTTAAAAAATAGCTTTAGGCTACCAGAGCTCAACGCCAAAGATAAACTGACTAAATCCCAGAGGAAAAAAGCTGATCAGCAGTTATAATAAAAAGTTCCTACTGATTATTCTAAAAAAACAAAAAAGTGTTTTTAATATGCTTGTTAAGGTTATTTATTTAAAAAGTGGCAGGAATCATTGGATTCCTGCCACTTCTATAATATGAAACATCTTCTGAAAGCGATAGCTCTTGATAATGATTTTTTAAAAACATTTATCAGATTCATCCAGTCACACAAACATACACTTTCATACACCATCACACACATCAGTGGGAAACTTTGGGTTAAGAGCCTTGCCCAAGGGCACATTGACATGCGATTATTCTACCCACTGAGCACCAGTCACTTTCATTTCTCTGCTACAGATGATTTTCTTTTAATCATCTCAAAGGTGAAAAATGAATTTAATTTTGACCACAAAACTAAGGAATTTTGGCTCACATTTCGGATTTATATTTTGTGTTTTCAAGCAAAAATCAAGCAGTTGCCGCTTCTTGTTTTTCATTGCCGGTGTCCGATGAGAGCGTCGATTATCAGAACATGCTTGGAGACTAATCCCTCCCATTCGTCTGTTCCTCTCTGTCCTCCTTCCCCGCAGGAGGTAAAGTGGGCGACCAGTCCTCCTCCTCCCTGCGCTTTGTACCTCAGCCTCTGTACTCGTAGGAGTTAACTGTAAAATAATAGTATGTATAGATTCACCGAATGTGTGAGGAAGCATGCATGCAAGGAACTCTGGCTGGTCACCCCAGCGCAGCTTAAGACCACCAAATTATATGCATTCGTTTGCAGAGGAACATTAAGAAATTCAATGTTTGTTTGTTTTTTTGTAAATAACTTTTTTCTTTCCTTTTTTTTTATTAATAAATAAATAAAACAAAGCAAAAAAAAAAAGTTGCACATATACATTTAACTCACTGCTTTTGCTTTGATGTTCTGGAAGCTATGAAGAATGTTGCAGGGAACCCTTTAGTAGCACCACTGAGAGAAAGCATAAAACAAACAGCAAACATGCCCATTCTGGTTCTGTTAAGTAAAAGAGGGCTTTAAAAACCACATTGCCTCCTCTGATTCAACTAATTTACACTGCCACTCTATTTTTAATTCCTTTATTTTTGTTAGTATGTGCACAATGCAAATCTAAATCATAATAGATATTGTAAGCCATTCTTTCACCATTCACTTCGGAGGAGTCCAATTTAAAATATGGCCTCGGCAATGACTCGTGTGCTTTTGTGCACATTTTCCATGAAAAGCCTCCGTCGGCGCCCACACACCGTTTGATCCGATCTCACTTCAGATTCTTTTCACACCCCTTCTTCAAAAGGAATCCTTTAGGAAATATCCGATTTTTACGTGCTCTTGCTGAGACTTTGTGCACAGCAGAAATAGGGTCTTGTTTGGCAGGAAATGCTGAAAAATGTGGGGGAAATGAATCCAGCGGACACCTCCCTCTGTTTGTCTTCGCTTTAACTCTTAGATTAAGTCTCAGTTTCAAAGTGGAATGAAAACAATGTGGATATTAGCCGAGATATCTCACTGCAGCCTGTTCTGATGAGACATTTGAATGTAACAACAGGTAAGATTTTCCAAAGCATGTCAAGATGATTTTCACATTTTATTTTTTTAGTGGGATGAAGAGGAAAAAAAAAAAAAAATCTATCACATGAGCTTTGAATTGATTCTGGTTCAAAAGGGTAAACGACCTTGAAAGTTAGCAACTAACGAGCATTCTTGCACTTGTAAAATGTTTTATTTTCTTGGTGTTGATCTAAAATTTATTGAACATGTACATATGCTGTAAACGGAAACAAATTATCCATATAATCTATATGTATACAAGAAATATGTCTCTTTATGTAAAAAACACAAAGTATCATATAATAAAAACAAATAAATATGCTAAGTCAAATATGCAAATGTGTCTTGTTATTCTTTTTTTTTTTCTTATTCTGAATCCACCAATCATTGGCTTCACAGTCATTTCAGTTCAGGTCTTTTAAAGATTTGTTTGTCTCTGTCCACTTTTAATAACATATAACTTCAACTTTTTAAAAACTAGGTAGAATTCATCGTTGATGTTCTCTAATCGAGTGTCAAAATGAAAGATTTATGCCGAAATACTTACTTGAACCCTCAGTAATGTTTGGTTAAATGGAAATTATTAAGCACCATTCAAACTTCAGTCATTTTCACCACTAAGGTTCTGGAAAAAAGAGATCAATCTTCTATCAAAAGTGTGGAGCTGCACTATTCTAATGCAAGTTGGGTGACCTCTGCAACCCACTGCTGCTGTGTTTGTCTTCTACTCACAACTAACTGTTAGTCTTCTGTGCTGCGAGCCCAGAGGCAGCTGAAGTTAATCCAAATTGTGTCGTCAACAGAAAAACGATCCCAGAAAAAGTGGGAGCGGGAAGGGGAATCCATACCAGACCAGCTGAAAAAGAAAGGAATCAAGCTGATTAATGGCCTGGTCTCAGCCATTAACTCAATTGAAGTGCTGTAATTTGACACAGCTTTGCACAACAGATGCCCCAAAAAACTAAATTGCAAAGTTAGAAAGAATAATGGTTCAAAGTTTCTTAACAGCAGTGAAAGTCATACAGAAAATGAGTGCCGTGGCTTTTGTAGGAATTTGGACCAGCTCTTTGTTTTTCCTATAACTGTATGGACAGTATGAACTCTTGCCTTTTCCCTGACTGTCAGAAAAACCCTCAGAGGATTCCAATAACCTAATATTTTAAATCGTATATTAAGGTGCTCATTCAAAGAAGATAACTATTTAATCTCCCTATAGGAAATACTGGGTTCTAATTTGACGAGAGGCTCTGTGTTTGTTATCTTGGCTTATCATGGTGCTGTAATCATGCTACACACGTTGCCCTGAGAATGCACACCTGGTTCTCTTTAATGAGGTTTAGGTAAAAAAACTTTGTCCACTTCATTCAGCTGTAAAAACAAGCAGTTTTTACAGCTGAGTTAAATAGATTCTGTAGCTGTAAAAAAAATTACTATTTCAAAAGCTTTTGTTTTTTTTTAGATTTCCTTTTTCAAGTCTGGTTGGTTGAGTGGGTAATAAAATGTAGACTTTGGCGCCATCTAGTGTCCAACGTGCCACCTTGCTGCCTCTGGTTAATGATGACGAAACGGCTCCCTTTATTCCAGGCTATGGCAAGCGAGTTCGTCAATATTCCGACATGTAAAATGAATGACAGCTTTAATGCTTGATTATCAGTTTGACAAGTCGGACTTTGACTGAAATTAGTTCACTGTTTTCTTGCTGTATTTCAAAAACAGAAGAGTCACCGGTTGGCAAAAAAAAACAAAAAAGTGTTTTTAATATGCTTGTTAAGGTTATTTTTTATATATACATATATATATACATATATATATACATATACATATATATATATATATATATATATATATGTATATGTATATATATATATATATACATATATATATATATATATATATATATATATATATATATATATATATATATATATATATATATATATATATATATATATATATATGGGCGAGAGATGAAAAAAAAAATAATATATATATATATATATATATACATATATATATACATATACATATATATATATATATGTATACATATATATATATATATATATGTGTATATATATATATATATATATATATATATATATATATATATATATATATATATATATATTATGTTTATTTGTTTGTGGCAAAATAGTGAACTCGTGCAAGCAAATCTGCAAATCTGTGCAGAGCAGTGAAGACCTTGTGAGTAGGACCTATTGCTCAAGTGAAGGATTGCAAATATGTACACAGACTGCTTGCCATACACAGTCCGCCCACCAGTAAGTTGGAAAACTCCTGTGTCTCACTGCGTTTTCCAGGGTTTTCCTGTTTTACTTTGTGTTTTTCCCCAGAATAATGTCTCATGCTTTTCCAACTAAATGTATTTCCTTTGCCTCATTGTTATCACTTGAAATAACCAAGAAGCAGAATGTCGTGCTGGTAAAACTCAATTCGTTTTGATTTCTAAATGTTGTGAGAAAGGTGAAAGGAGGCATTTCCACAGTGAGGTGGTGGTGTTTACCTTCGCCTGTGGGCTTTGGCATCATCTTCAGCTTTGCTCCACCAAGCCTCACAAAGCCGGTAGGCAAGATAAGAGAGAAAATATGAAGCCCCTCATAGATGAGTGAAAAGTGGCGTTATCTGAGGTCAAATCCACCCGTAGACATACCTAGACAACTACTGCTAATAGATTCTAGTTTCATATACATAGGAGAGGAATTCCAGAGTGAATTGAATTTGGGATCTCTTCTAATATGCTGAAATTTTCAGTTCAGCATTTACTCTAGTTTGACTCGTGATCGATTTGTGCTAAAGCACATTCAGTGGAAATCAAACTTGATATTCAAAATTTTTTGTCCCCTCAACAAAGTTTGTCACGCGAGCCAGAAACAAATCTCTGCTCTTTCCTCGGAAGTGTGTTTGGTTCTCCCCAAGTTGTTCCAACTCCTTTTCTTTGCCAGTAATGCCAGTACCAAGGCTTCTTCTTTTAATTTCACTGGAAACGGATTCTGCCCGTGTCAACACTTGCCACACACTCTGAGACAGATCACTGGAGATATTTACACAGGCAGATTACAGTTTCCTTGGGACAGACAAGTTGCCCTTCACAGTTTTTCATTTGCTTTTATCTTTGGATATCTTCTAAAAGAGAAGATTTCACAGTGAGTGTAATTTTTTTTTAAATTCAAAAATGTTTCAAGGTGCTGTTGCGTTTGAAGTGCATTTAATTACTACTTCTGTTTAAATTTAGGCTGTTTTTCCAGTAAGAAAAATGCAATTGTACTTCAGACAATTAAAAAATAATTGTATAATATCTAACTACAGCAGAGGAAGCACATGGGACAGGAGACGTTGTTAGAAGACAAGCCAAAAACAAGGAGATGAAAGAATCCGATGGATTTTTTCTTTCATGACAAGTCCAAAACTCCGTTTGATTTACTCCGCTCCAGTCTAATTATACCAACACGAAAAACTCCATTGACAGCTCATTTATCATTTGATTTATAAAGTAAGCAAGAAGTAAAAAAATCCTATTCTAAAAAGCTATACACATCTGCACATATGCTCCTACACATTCTATTGTCTATTAATTAATTGTGTTAATATCAAGTGTGATCTAAAGTGGATTCTGTAGTTGCAGTTCATTCCTCCACTAAATTATCACAGTCTGCAGCCATTACTGGTTATATATTTCAGGTGTATTTTCCAAAGAACTCATTGAGATTCAGTAAACATACTGGCAGCTATTTATAGTTCTTTGTGCAAAACCCACTGATCATGTCTGAGAACAAAATAAAAAATAAAAAAACAAAAACCCACTGGAGAACTCTGAGTGCTTTTGTGCCTTTAGATTTGTTCCAGGAGTAGCTTTGCTTTTCTGCCCATGTTCTGCTGCCCCGGGCTGTTTCTTAATAGCAGGGCAGGGGAGTGTAGTAATTAAAGGCACAGTTACAGCAATAGTTTTAGGAGAATATGTCAGCTGCAGTCATCATGAGAGACAAATCAATAAATGTCTAATGTGGCATAATATTTACAAAGAAAACTATTTCTGCCTGTTCCGTAATATTTGAGTTACGCAGTGTGAACAATCAAAAATATTTATGCCACTTGTAAATGTGATAGAGCAACACAAACTTATGAAATGGCAAAGTCAGGAAGACACATGGTTTTCTAAATTTTTCATATCTAAGCAGTACTGACGTCTGTGACGCCTCTTTCTCTTTACAACAGCCTTTCATTGATATTACAATTGCAGTTCTTCTGTGTTTTGTGTTTAGAGACTGAAATTTCTTTTCCTCTTTTGTTTGCAAAACATCTCAAACTCAGTCAGATTGGAGGAAAAGCATCTGTGAACTTCAGCTTTCAGGTCTTACCACAGGTTCTTAATTCTCTTTATGGTCTCACCTTTAACTAGACCAATCTATGACTGTGATTCAATCTGAACCATTTTAATACTGGTTGTATGTTTAGCCTCCAGGTCTTGCTGTAAGGTGAACCTTGTATTTAGCTTCATTGATCTTCCATAGCCTGATAAGTTTCCTTGTCTTTGATATTGAAAGGCCCACAGCATGATGCTACCACTGCCGATTGTTAACCCGTGGGTGTTGTTTTCTGTGTCTCTCACACCTGAGCTGTGACCTCTGCAGCTCCTAAGAGTTACCTTGAGCCTGGTGGCTGCTTCTGCTCTACCTTTCAAAGCGTTTGAATGTCTCACATTAAAAAAAAAAAAAATCTTTGGTTAATTTAAATTATTGGATCGTTTGTGTGATAATTTGCACACTTGTAAAAGCAAACCTATGTGGCATGTAAATTCATATTCAATAATAAGCTAGGTTATGTTACAATTTGTTTGTTGAATGTTAGACATATATATTGAAATACTACAATGGTTTATTTTTTCTCACTTGAGAGAAAGTACTTGAGATTCAGTATTTTCCAATCGTAGTCCTGAAATTTCTTTCTCTCTCTCTCTCCGACACACAGACGCACACACACTTGCTTGATCTTAATGGGTGAGTTACAGGCTTCTGCAGATCCTGATGACGAGATGTGAGTTATCTCATTCCTTTGAACGTGTAGGAGTCTAATAACATGCAGGACAGTTTGCCTCC